TAGTCAAAACAAGGTTCCAAAATTTGATGGAATGCCAATTGAAAGGTTTCAACAAGCTGATACAAAGCACTAGATTCTAGTGACTACAAGAACTCACTCACCTAGGCCAGGAAATTTGGAAGACTGCTGCTTGCCAACTGACTGGGAGAGATCCATGTTTATATATCCATTTCAAGGAAAGGTGACCCAACAGATTGTGTAAATTATAGAACAATATCGTTAGTATCACATGAACGTAAAATTTTGCTGAAGATCATCCAACAGTGGTTGCAACACTGCATTGACAGGGAGCTGCCAGAGGTTCAGACAGTATTCAGAAGAGTATGTGGAATAAAGGATATGATTGCTGATGTCCGATGGATTTTGGCTGAAAGCAGAGAATACCAGAAATACGTGTACTTGTGTTTTATTGACTATGCCAATGCATTAGACTATATGAATGAAACGAATTTAAATCCAAGAGCACTTCATTGTGCTCATGTGGAACCTGTACATGGATCAAGAGGCAATTGTGTGAATGGAACAAAGGAATCCTGCATGGTTTAAAATCAGGAAAGATATGGGTCAGTGTTCTAGCCTTTCACCATTTTTATTCAGTCTGTATGCTGAGCAGATCATTAGAGAAGCTGAATTAAATGAGGAAGAATGCAGCATCAGGATTGGAAGAAAACTTAGAAACAAGCTATGACAGCATGGTGACACAACCTTGCTTCTTGAAAGTGAGGAGAATTTGAAGCATTTGTTGGAGATCAAGGATTGCCGCTTTCAGTATTACAATTCAATGTAAAGAAATCCCAAATCTTCACAACTGGTAACATCTTGATAAACTTGACAAAAGATTAAAGTTGTTAAAGATTTCATCTTGCTTGGACTCACAATCAATGCTCCTGGAAGCAGAAGTGAGGAGCACAATGCATTGCTTTGGGCAAATCTTCTGTACAACACCTCCTTAAAGTGTTGCAAAGTTCTTACTTTGAGAACTCAGCTGTTCTGGGCCAACCCATGGTATTTTCAATCACCTAATGTGCATGTAAAAGTTGAACATTGAATAAAGAAGACCAAAGGGGAATCGATGAAGTTGAGTGATGGTGTTGGCAGAAAATCTTGAAAGTGCCACAGACTACCAAAAGAATGAATCATATTCTTCTGTCTTAGAAGAAATACAGGTAGACTACCCCTTAGAGGAAAGGATGGTGCAACATTGTCTTACTTTGGAAATGATGTTATGATATTAAGAGAGACCCGTTCTTCAAGAAGAACATCGTGCTTGGTAGAGAGCCTAAAGAGGAAGGCCCTGGACAGATGAATTGACACAGTGGCTGTAGCAATGGGCTCAAACACAAGAACAATTGTGAAGATGGTGCACTGCTGAGCAGGGTTTGTTCTGCTGTTCATAAGACGGTGATGAACCCAGAAGACGCAAGAAACAAACCACGGCCAGACATCTGTGCTCCAGTGTTCATTGCTGCACAGTTCACAATTGCAAGGAGTTGGAAACAACCCAAATTTCCATCAACGGATGGATGGATTACAAAATTGTGATACATACATACAATGGAGAGCTAACACATTCCTAAAAAGCAGTGATGAATGCATGAAGCACATCGCCTCATGGGAAGAATTGGAGGAAATTATGCTAAGTGAAGTAATCCAAGCACAAAAGGACAAGAACAACATGAGTCCACTGAGATATGCTTTAAAAATGCAAAGGGGGCATAAGGGGAAAGCTACTATATATCTACATTCCTGGGGTGACAACCAGGTACTATGGGGGGCCAAACCCAATCCAGGGATACATATGGCAGCCAATTAAATAGGAGGGGAAAGAAAAAAAAAAAGACATGGGTAGGGAGGGATCCAGGGCACTAACCTACCAAAGGGTATTGTTTCTATCTCCACAGGAGAGGGAGATATCAGGCTTCAACCCAGTGTGCCAAGATGTGAATACCACATAGTGGCACATAACACGGAACCAATAGAGAGGTCTGTGGGGCCATCCCCAATCCCAACTATGTGAACCCCCAGAAGAATGCACTTCGGAGGACAGCGCTGAAGCAACAGCTCAAGGAGAGGGGCATGTCTGATCAGAGCACACAGGAGCAAACGAAGAGGGAAGGAGAGAGTGGAGCACATCCTGACCCAGCAAACCCCGAGGACAATATTCCTGCTCAGAGTAGCCAGTGCGCAGAGAGGACCATAGGGCTGGGCCCACCAAGAGACACATCACTCACTGATCCATAGCGCTACGGGGGACAGCACTAGAGACACAGTGCAGGAATTGTGCCCTGTCTGACCCCGTCACACCGGGGTGAAACACTAAGGGCGTGCAACAGAGCAGCAAGGGAAGCAAAGCAATGAAGTCCCCGAGAAATACCAAAAATAGATATCTGTGGCCAGAGCTTGGCACCCCATCCAACTCCACTGGAAAATAATAGCCAGAGAATGTTGTTGCTGTTAGGGCTCATCTAGTTGTCTCTGACTCATTGCCATCTTTTATTTATTTGTGTATTTATCTATCTATCATTTTATTAGGGTTTTTACAACACACAGACCTTACAACTATTTTTTATCTTTTTGAAATCATTTCATTGGGGGCTCGTACAACTCATCACAATCCATACATACATCCATTGTGTCAAGCACATTTGTCATTTGTTGTCATCATCATTCTCAAAACATTTTCTTTCTACTTGAGCCCTTGGTATCAGCTCCTCATTTTTGGCTTTTCCTTTTTTGTCATTGGTTTTTGTTGTTGTTGTTGTTTTGTCTTCCTTTGTCGATTGGCCTTGTCTTGTTTTTGCACTTATTATTGTCTTACATGTCTATCTAGATAAGATAGGTGAGATAACCCTTTCAGAGGAGAAAAAAATGGGCCAGTCAGTTCCAGGGGGGACACGGGAGAGGGGGAGGCAGGAGAAAGGACGTGGGGTATCAACCAACCCAGGTTAAAAGAAACAACAAGTGATCTAAAATCGTTGGAGAGAAAGGCATAGGATGCCTGGTGGGGCATAATCAAAGGCAATGTAACAGAGGAATTACTAGAACCTGAATGAAGGCCAAACATGAAATTGGGAAAAAAGGAAAGTTAAAGGAAAGAAGTAGGAGGCACAGAGCATTTATAGAGGTCTAAAGACAGGCATGTACATATGTAAATATACTTATATATAATGATAGGAAAATAGATGTATGTACATATATCTGTATGTTTAGTATTAAGATAGCAGACGGACATTGGGCCTCTACTCAAGAACTCCCTCAACACAAGAACACTTTATTCTAATAATCAGGCATTCTGTGATAATCACCATCCCGACAAGATTGCTAAAGACAAAATAGGTGCATAAGCAAATATAGTGAAGAGAGCTGATGGTGTCAAGCTATCAAAAGATAGAGTGTCTGGGATCTGAAAGGCTTGAAGATAAACAAGCGGCCAGATAGCTGAGAAACAATAAAGCCCACATGGAAGAAGCACACCAGCCTGTGTGATCATAAGATATCGATGGGATCAGGCATCAAAGACCCAGGACAAAATCATGTCAATGTGAATGAGGGAGAGTGCAGAGTATAGACCCAAAGTCCATCTGTAGACAGTTGGACATCCCCTTACAGAAGGGTCACAATGAAGAGACGAACCAGTCAGGGTGCAGTATAGCACTGATGAAACATACAACTTTGTTTTAGTGTTTCCTCCCTCCACCACCATGAACCCAATTCTACCTTACAAATCTGACTAGACCAGTGCATGTACACTGCTACAGATAAGAGCTCGCAACACAGGGAATCCAGGAGAGGTAAAGCCCTTAGGACCAATAATGAGACTAGAGATGGCAGGAGGGGAAGGGGAAGGTGGATGGAGAAAGGGGGAACCGATCACAATGATCTACATATAACCCCTTCCTAGGGAGATGGACAACAGAAAAGTGGGTGACGGGAGACACTGGACAGTGTAATACGTGAAAAAATAATAATTTAAGTTATCAGGAGTTCATGAAGGAGGAAGGGTGGGGAGAGGAAATGAGCTGATATCAAGGGCACAAGTAGAAAGTAAATGTTTTGAAAATGATGATGGCAACATGTACAAATGTGTTTGACACAATGGATGTATCTATGGATTGTGGTAAAAGCTCTAAGAGCCCCCAATAAAATGATTTAAAATAAAATTATGATGGCAACAAATGTACAAATATGCTTGATACATTTGATGTATGGAATGTTATAAGAGCTGTAAGAACTCCCAATAAAATTATCAATAGATAAATAAAAAGACGGCGATGAGTTGGAAACAACTGGACGAGCCCTAACAGCAACAATGTTCTCTGGCTACTGAAAAAAAAATCTGAACTGAAAAATAATAAGTGTGAAGAATCAATAATTAAGTGTTTTTTAATTAACTCTCATTGGTAAAGCAATAAATTTTATTGATTAATTTTGTGCTTGTTGAATTTTCACATTAAAACCTTCAGGGGAAAATGTGTTATATTCATGCTTATAAAATATTTTTAGTAATGCTTTTATTAGCTGTTTGTAAGTTTTACAAAGAAACCATTAAATGCTTTCATATTTATATATCCATGTGCCTTAGGGTCACAGTTACCTATCAGTACGTTGCTTGTTCCCTTTTCAGAACACGTGGCAGGAGTATCTCTAAAGAAAGGCTGTACTGTGACATCCCGTCACTATCAATTCTATAACTCCGTAACAGTGGAGCCCCGTTTGATTTAGGTTTTTTCTCCCTGGATTTCCCCCAATCTCTATCACCCCCCCTAAGCTGTCCATTTACAATTCCTTGGCATTCTGTAGCTGGAGACAGTGTCTGAAATCCTGGTCCATGTAGCTCTCTGAAATATTTTCCTTTTTAAAAATTCTTATGGCCTCCCTGTATTGGTAAGGTAACTATGATGTTCCCTACATAGACAATAGTATTTCTCCATGTCTTTTTCTCTTATTTCTCTTGACATTTGACCTTTTATATTTATTTATAATATTTCTTGAATTTATAGGAGTGTGCTGACAAACAAAGCCAAATTGAACGAATTATTAGGGAGAAAAAAGCATTGGAAGAAGAGCTAGAAAAGGTAAAAGTGAAATAGAACTACCTAAAACCTAACTGAAAATATTCTACACTACTGTCTGCTTCTATCACACTTCCTCCTAGCAGCCCATTTATTTATCAGTGTTTTCCCAGTGCGTGTTTTTATTTTACGAAGATATATTCACAATCTGCATTTAAATACTGCTATTGCCTACATGCATTTGTTTCCAAAAGTGGCTACATGCGTTGAACTTTGTACTTAAAGATATAAATCTTATGAAATCGGTACGTACCTTGCTTCAACTAGGATTCCTCATGGCATTGTGGTAACACATTAGGCTGCTAACTGCAAGGTCAGCAGTTCGAAACCACCATCTTCTCCAAGGGAGAAAGTAGGGCTTTCTATTCCTGTAAAGAATTATAGTCACGATGAGTCGACATCGATTCAATGACTGTGAGTTTGGTTCAGTTACTTCAACTTCAACACAATAATGCATTTTGTCTTCTCTCTTGAAATTTTATGCAACTCATACTTAGTGTAGTCCATCTATGAATATAACAAAGAACGCTGGTGGTATAGTACATTACATATTGGGTTGCTAACCACTAGGTCAGCAGGTGGAACTCACAGCAGTTCCTCCAGGGAAATGATGAGACTTTGTGCTCCCAGAAAGATTTGCAGTCTTGGAATTTTGAAGGGCCTTGGCCTGCGACCTGTTCTACTCTGAACTATAGGATCCCTATGACTCAGAATCAACTCAGTTGTAGACGGCGATGTATAAAATTGAGAGAATTAATAGCATTGCTGTGGTTTTTACCTTGAGTATAAATCTTATTTCATAGGAGATTTTTTTGTACATTGATATTCGAGAAAATCAGTTATCTGCGGTGAACAGTTTGTCGTTTACACATTGACTAAGCCCACTTTCTTAAAGCACTTTAGAAAAAGAAAAAGAGACTGCCTTTGCTGAGCACTCACTGTGCTTTAAGCACAGTATGGAGAAATTTTGCAGCAAAGTTAGTGTCAGAAAATAGTAAATGATAGAATTTGATTTTCAAAGGGAATTATGTGGCAATAAAAATAGAAAGCAAAACACAGTGTGCAGTCACATTTAATTTTTTAAATATATGCATGCTGTGTTCAAGGTAAGACCTCTGTGGTCACCACTATCCTGCAAGGTGGATTCCTTCTGGGTTTCCATTGGTTATGACAGGTAAGTACTGTTTGTCACCTGCTATATAAATACGTCAGGGCTTGGGATTACTTTTGTAATATATAGCATAAGCGAAGCAATGGACTTTATGGGGGCAATGAAAAACTTAAAAGGTTAAAGACTGAAAGTGAAGAAAGATGGCAGAGGTCTCAGTTATCCCAGTGTGGGTGTGTGTATATTAGGGGACATTGACATGGTGACCTTTTTATAAATCATGGCCTTCAAGTTGATTCCAATTCGTAGTCACTCTATGTAAGGTTTCTGAGACTAACTCTTAATGGGATCAGATAGCTGTATCTATCTCCCGAGCTTTTTATAAAGCAGGAGTAACAAAATAGTCTTAGCAAAGGGGAAAAGACACAGGTCACCTGGCATGGTAATCAAAATTAGTGTAGCTGTACGTCTGATTTGTTTGAAAATGGGAAGTGCTTAGCCCCTGGAGCCCTAGGGTGTTATAACCCCTGAGAGGAAGCTGAGGTTGAGTCCAGCTTCTCCTGGATCGTTGTTCAGGGAACCTGGAGTGAGACTCTGCAGTCCCTTTCATACAGTTGGCGTCATACCATAGTATGTGCCATGTAAAACTGACAAGAAAACTGGAGAATATATATTGAAGAATCTCCTGTGTTAATTTCTAAGTGGTAACACTTGCATTTTTTTTGTAAATTTCAGGAGTTTTATGTATTTTATTGGAAGATTTTACCAAAAGCATGAAACATTTCAAAAATGAAGATATTATTGTCTACGTCAATTTATACCATTTTAAATATAAAACGGCTCAAACTAATTATTGGTATAATTTAAGCAGGCTACATTGATAATAGATGAAAGAAAGATTATCGTAGGTGTTTGTGGTCTTAATTCATCATTTCTTTTTGTTTCTAAATTTTATCATTTATTAAGGAAATTCCCTTCTATAAGGTAATATTCATAAGCCTTTTCTGTAGATTCATCGTGAAGGCAGAGGAAATGAAAGTGATTACAGAAAACTTGAAGAAATGCACCAACGATATCTGGCTGCGGAGTGTTCAAAAGATGATCTTCAGTTAAGACTTAAGACAGCAGAAAATAGAATAAAGCAACTTAAAATAACGTAAGTTTTTCTTTTTCATTTTCTGTGATAACTCTTTCAGAATTAACACTAGACTGTATATTTATGGGACTTCCTCCCAGTGTGCCTTTCTTACGGAAATGGGAATGATTAAAAGTTTACTTATATTCTTAAAAGTAGAGTGTGTTTCTCTCCAGTGAGCTCATATGTTCTGTTAGACATGAGTTATTAGTGAAGACGTTCCCGTATTCTCTGTATATATGGGATTTTCACCCATCATATATGATTGATGCAGTCGTTGCATTCAAAGGATTTCATTTCCAGTGTTTGGGATGCCATTGAGTGCTGTATGTTTTTAAATCACCTATAATCAAAGGTTTGCCATCCCTCCTTTTACCTAAGTTTTTCTTAATTGTTTTTTGGAAAAAATGGGTAATTGGTATTACAGTATTCCTACATTCATACATAAGGGGATATCAAACAATTATGCAAAAATTATATTACAAACTATTGTGGGAAGATTATATTATCTTTTAATTCCATTTCCCCCAAAACTTTTTGAAGCTCCTTTGGGGTATCATTTAACCTGTTTCTCTATCCCCTTGAATTTCTCAAAACCATTGATTTGATCAAGAAGCTTGATTGATTCAGCTCTTATTTTTTTCCTAAGAATTTATTGTATACACGTAGCAATATTTTGACTTCTCTTAGAAGGCATGTAATAGAGGGTTCTCTTTTTTATCTTTGTATCCTTTGATTGCCTACATCTATAATTTCAGTAAGAATTTCATTAGTTAGCATTTAGACCAAAAAAAATCACTGTTATCAAGTCAATTCCAACTCATAGATTTCTGAGACTGTAAATCCTTATGTGAGTAGAAAGTTTTTTCTTTCTCCTGAGGAGTGCCTAGTGCCTTTGAACTGCCCAACATGTAACCTACTCTGCCACCAGCATTGCAGAGATGCACTATAGGACTCCTTAATTTAACAAAGAAATTAGAACTTACAAGAACGTAGAAGTAGGTAAAAGGGTAAAGGTAGATAATAAGAGAAGCACTCACTAACTATGGAAGCACTGGCAGAGTTTGCAAAACAACGGAAGAGGGCCTGAGCCTTACGGTGCTGAACTGGGGTCATCCTTGTAAAGAAATGGCTTACTGTGCTAAAAACTATGTCGAAGTTGTTTATGAATTGCTCGGTTTCTAAGTCATACGCAACCAATAGTTTTATTAAACTGATACAATATTAGCAGCAGTTATATATTCCCGGTGATACCTTTTGACCATGAATCATGATCTTACTAACCTAATGATTCAAGTGTTCATAATGTTTAAATATCTGAGATTTACAAGATGGAAATCTAACAAGTTGGGAATTAAAAAGGGTATATTGAAGCAAAACATAAGTTGTTTCCCCATAATAAAGTACAAAAAATATAGACAACTTAACCTATGAAACTCACTGTCTTGGAGTCAGTTCTGACTCAGTGACCCTGCGGGGCTGGATAGGACTGCCTCTGGGGCTATCCAAGTCGGTCGATCTTTCCAGGAGTAGAAACTCATTGGTCTTCTACAGAGCAGCTGGTGGCTTCCACCTGCTGCCCTTGCAGTTAGCAGCCCAACTCATAATCCAGTATGCTATCAGAGTTCTTCCTTAATCTATGGAGTTTATAACATCCATTTCCAAGTCATAGGAGAGAAAAATATGAAAATAGATCCTATCATTATAATTGAGTATTATAATCAACTATTGGGTGTTCTGGAATTTATTGATGAGGTAAAAGAATTTTGATACCTATTTGTTCTTTACTTGTGAAATTCTTCTTACACAGTGATTCTCGATATTAATAAAATTTGAAAATTCCACATCAGTTTTCTAGGTAAATGAAAAGCAGTTCAACTTATCTCTTTTTACTTATGATTAAATTGAATGTATTTGCATGGTGATATAAGATTTTAAATCACAAAGAGAAAGGGTTCAGAAAAAAGAAAGGAAGGTCTGTACTGTAAAATGTAGCTAGATGATCTTTTATTATAGATCATTAAGTGTGAGGGTTCTTGTTGTGTTGTTTTTCAATCAGTTCCTCAGAAGAGCTATCACGTTGCCAAGAAACGATTCAGAAACTTCAAAACGTGCTGGAGTCTGAGAGAGAGAACTGTGCATTTGTCAGTGAACAAAGGCTGAGTCTTCAGCAAGAAAATGAACAGTTGCAGAAAGAGACTGAGAATTTGAGAAAGATTGCTCTGGAGGCTCAAAAGAAAGCCAAATTAAAGGTATTTTCAAGACTAGTTGGAGTTAAATGTGTACTTGTAAGAATTGAAGTATAAAGAATATTTAGACTTGATGAAACTTTTTTAAGGTCTTTTTCTGTTGTTAGCCTTCTAATCAAATACAGTAGTACTGAGTTCAGAACATTGACCAGTCATGGTAGAACTTGGCAAACATTCTCGAAAATGATTGCTTTCTCTATCTACATCCCTCCACCCACCCCCGCCTTCCCCCAAAATGGAAGAAACATCGTTTCAGCCATGAAATACAGTGATATTCCTGCCAAAGCAATTTAAGCAGCACTAGCAAAGCTATAGATTAGATAACTGTACAGACTGCCATCCTCTTTCCTTTCTATAATAGCTTCTCAAACTTTGAGCTTCTCTAAAGCTAGCAGGAGAGAGAATGCTGCATCAGTATGCACTGAGAATCCCTCACTCTGAGAACCAAATGCTAAGATGACAAAATGACAACGGCTCATCCTCTTAAAAAAATCCCTCTTATGTTTTTCTTTTTCCTCTTTTTTAAAGCTTACATGCTCTGTCAACAGAAACATAATAACCTGTTTAATGGAGTTCCAAGAAGCAGAGGAATCACCATCAACATTTTGGTTACCTTTCCCCATTCCATGAGATTTTTATAAAATGTGATGGTAACGCTCTGTGATAAAGGTCTGCACCTTCCAATTTCATACCATTTCCCCGAAAATAAGACAGTGTCTTATATTAATTTTTGCTCCCAAAGATGCGCTAGGTCTTATTTTCAGGGGATGTCTTATTTTTCCATGAAGAAGAATATGGTACACATTTATTGTTTATTGTTTTATTAAAAGAGACCTCGCACTTCCTGTCTGCTCCGGCTGCACTGCAGCCAACTGAGCTGCGCGGGGGCGCCCGCCTCTACAGTCCAGAGACCAGAGTTACGGTAGCTTCGGGGGTGCTTATTTTCAGGGAGGCCTTATTTTCGGGGGTTTGCCTTATATTTCAGCGAGAGGCAAAACTGTAAGTAGGTCTTATTTTCGGGGATGTCTTACTTTCGGGGAAACAGGGTAGTATGGGTAGAGAATGATTGTATGAATAGTTTACGTAGCTTTTTGTTACTGTGAGGGCTCATAAGATTTAAATCTCTAATGAAGTGACATTTCAGCTTAATTAATATCAACATTTACGAACATTTCAAAAAATTCGTGAAGAAATTCTATTAACTTTTAGTTTCATTTTTCCAGAAACTTTTGAAGCCCCTACATTTATTTAATGCCTCCTGTTGTCATAGTGGTTATAAGTTTGGCTTTCCACTCCTGTGAAGAGTTAGTTCTCAGAAACTCACAGGAGTTCTACCCTGTACTGCAGGGTCGCTGTGAGTCGGCCTTGACTCAAAGGGCATGAGTGGTTTGGGGTTTGGTTATGAGCATCAAATATTATAGTTATTTTTTAAAGTTTTAATTCTAAACAATAGAGTCTTTACATACCAAACAAAAAAGTTTGTACTTTATGCCTTAGACTATGGAAAGTCTTTGAAGAAGGAAAGAGGGAGGCTTCTGCTACTACCCTGTTTTCCCAAAAGTAAGACATCCCCCGAAAATAATACCTACTTACAGTTTTGCCAGTTGCTGAAATATAAGGCATCCCCCCCCCGAAAATAAGGGTTTGGATTGTTATGATGATGTTCCAGAAGATGATGACATGACTGTCATTGAATAAATGAGTAAATGTACCATAGATTATTGTACATGGAAATAATGGTAGTAACAAGAAATTCTTGATACTGTAGGATTCACAGTTTGTCTGGTTATGCTGGTTTGTGATGACAACTACTACCGTACCGTATACAGGTAATACATTTCCTTTTTTTGTTCAATAATAAAGGTGTACCGTATTCTTCTTCATGGAAAAATAAGACATTCCCTGAAAATAAGACCTAGCGCATCTTTGGAAGCAAAAATTAATATAAGACACTGTCTTATTTTCGGGGAAACAGGGTAGGTAACAAGACTGGTTATCATGCTACAGTAATTTAGACAATGTGTTACCAGCCTAAGGATAATCAACGTGATTAACAAAATAGAATCCAGAAGCAAACTCTTGCATGCCTTATTATCTGATTTATAACCAAAATATTACAATAAATCACACTATGTGATTAGATCCTTACATTTTAAAAAATTAACCTTAACACTTCATATCATATGTGCTAATTAATTTAAACTGATATATAGATATAAATGTGAGATGTAAAAGCATGGCGCTCCTATGAGAAAATATTTATGGTCTCGGGGAGGGAAAAAACAAACAAACTCACTGCCACTGAGTCGATGCTGACTTGTCATGATGCCTGTGGGTTTCTGAGGAGTCCATACTGTTTATGAACCCCTGTGGGTTTCTGAGACTAACCTGTTTACGAACCCCTGTGGGTTTCTGAGACTAAAGCCCAGTCTTTCACTGAAGAGCCGCTGGTGGTTCCGAACCATTCAGATCACTGCCCATCACATAACCACTACGCCACCAGAACTTCTTAAATAGAATATCAAAAGCATTAATGAAAAGAAAAGGTTGATTAATTGGATTCCATTACAATGATATTTTTAATTTGTAAAAGGCTATGGAGGACAGTGGGAGCTCAACATACATCTGCAGAGTATCTAGTCAAATTAAGCCTCTGGGGGATCCCATCTAGCCACAGGCAAGGGACTCAAACAGCTTTACTGTCAGACAGATTATTATAAACTTGATTTTGGTGGATCCAGCATTGGTATAATCTGATAGTTGGTCAGTTAACCATTCTCTTGACCCAACCTGAATTGACTCTAGGCACAAGTATTTCTTGCTTGTTCCATGACAGAAAATTCTTGACTTTTTAAATACTGATGGTGTTATTTTTCTTTTTTACTCTTTATTTGTAATTTTAGCTTTATATTATTATTACAGTTTTCTTCTTGCCGGTTTTTTTTTTTATTATTATTTTGGTTGGGTTTCCAAGTTTGTAGAGCACAGAAGGAGTGGATGCATAGACCCAATAACTGTTGCAATGGTTTATCAGGGATGTGGAGAGGGAGTTGGGGATGCGGAGGGTGATGGGATTGAGGAAGCAAACTGTGGGGTGGGGAGGGTGATAGGATTGAGGGAGCTAACAATGAATGTGGGGTGGGGGGGAGCAATATAATTGATTGTGATGATGTATATACAACTATTTTTAAAAGCTATTTAAACATGGAAGTATATGATACATGAATATTATATCAAGAAAATTATTTTTTTAAAAGAATCTAAATTTGACCAATGGTTACCATGGGTGAAGGAGAGAGAATTGTTGCACAGGGAGCATTGAGTTATTTTAATGGTGTTGCAATAATTTGGAAAAGGATATCGATAACATTTAAACACATGGAGAGCGTAATCAGTGGGATTGAATTATACATGTAGAAGTTGTGGAACTAGAGGATGTGTAGTTGTGTATATTTTTTGCCATAGGTAGAAAAAGATTACATGAATAACAGTCAGTACAAGGAAGAAAATATTCTAGAGTTGTCTGTGGAGATAATTATACAACTCTTCTTGATATGATTGAATTATTGAATTGTATGGCATGTGCGTGAAGTGCTAATAAAAAAGTGCTGTTTTAAAAAAAGAGAAATTGAATTCTACCAACATCCTTAATCTGAAATTGATCAAATATACAATCAAGATACAAGATAATTCTTGTCAATTGGAATGCCAAAGTTGGAAACAGGAAAGAACAGTGGTTGGAAAATATGGCCTTGGTGATAGAAACAAAGCTAGAGAGCACATGATAAAAATTTCTAAGGGCAACAATTTCTTTATGGAAAATGTATTTTCCAAAATACAAATGGCAACTATACCCATGGACTTCTTCAGATGGAATACACGGAAATCAAATTGACGACATCTGTAAGAAGAGACAGTGGAGAGGACACTCAGCTAGAACAAGGGCAGGACCTGAATGTGGAAGGAACTATAGACTGCTCATAAATAAATTCAGGTTGAAGATGAAGACAATTAAAACAAGCCCAAGAAAGCCAAAATTCAACCTTGAGTAAATCCCATGTGGACTTTGAGAACATCTCATGAACAGATTTGATGCACTCAACATTAATGACAAAAGACTTGATGAGCTATGAGATGAACATCAAGAACATTATCCACGAGGAAGGCAAAAGCTCATTAAAAAGAAACGATTAGTATGGGTATCAGAAGAGACTCTGAGTGAGACTCACTTTTAATTGTATAGCAGCTGAGGCAAATGGAAGAAATGATAAAATAAAAGACTACAAAGTAAAATATTATAATAAAATATGCAAAGACCTTTAGTTAGAAAACTATAAAGGAAGAATGTGTGCAGGACTGCTTAAACTGAAAGAACTCTAGAAAAAATTCAAACATGAGGTTACAAATATTGACCAATTTTTGGCAAAAATATTGAATGATTCAGGAAACATCCAAAGAAGATGGAAAGTATACAGAAAGTCACTGAGCCGAAAGGAACTTATTATCATTCAGGCATTTAAAAATGGTAGCATATAAGCAAGAGCCAATGGTACTGAATGAAGAGGTTCAAGCTGCCCTGACAACCTTAGCCAAAAACAAAGCTCCAGGACTTGATGGAATGCCAATTGAAATGTTTCAACAAGATTATGAAGTACTGGAAGCACTCACTCATCTGTGCCAAGAAAGTTGGTAGATAGCTACCTGCCTAGCCAATGAGAAGAGATCTGTATTTATTCTAATTCCAAAGAAAGGCGACCCAACAGAATGTGCAAATTAAAACAATATCATTGATAGCACACACAAGTAGAAGTTTGCTTACATCCATTCAACACCAGTTGCAGCGGTGCATTGACAGGGATTGTCAGAAATTCAGGAAAGATAAGAAGACTCAATGCGTTTGAATTATGATGCTGGGAAAGAACACTGAAACTAGCACAGATTGCCAAAAGAACAAACATACCTTTCTTGGAAGAACTACAGCTAGATTGCCCCTCAGAAGTGAG